TGTCAACCAATCAGCTTCTCTCTTTCATTTTCAAACCTTAACTGAACAAACTGGAGAGAAGCTGATTGGTTGCCATGCACAGCTGCTCCAGATTTTGTCTGCCCCAGTTTTGATATCTTCCCCTCTGTTTCTCTGATATATGCATGTTGAAAAACATAGTATCCGTGTTTGTTACAGATTTTCGATTAGTACAGTCAGGCTCCACTCACACAAGCAGTTTTCTGTGCATATGGAAAGGCACTAAACATAAACCAATGCATTGCAATGTGCATTGTTCAGACGATTGTGGCAAACCACGCAAAATAGTCCAAAAGAAAAATTTGGGCGGATTGTGCACGTTCCGGCTATAGAAGTAGCTGCGAAAGAGTGGAAACCGTGCGTATGTTACGCACGGCAAATGGTAACGTATGTTACCATTTGCGCGATTTCGTTCCTCACGAAAAAACTGCTATGCGTGAATGGAGCCTTACACTGCCAGGGAAGAGGTTAATAGCATTCACAGATAAAATAGAATAGAGAGAATCTACGACACACAGCAGGAGTTTTTATAATACAAGCACAACAAGAGAAATAACACTGAAAGCTCAGTCCTGCAAATACACAGGGAGTGAGGAGCTCTCCCTGTGTAATCAGCAGAGCTGTGCTATAATGGTAACAGTCATTCTGTGCTCAATCCATGGGGAGATGTGTCAGAGCTCCTGAAATAAAAAGGGTGGCCACAGACCTTACAACCATCGCAAGACTTTTTGTCTTGCGATGGTTGTAAGATAATTTAAAAAACGTACGATCTGCCCATCTTGGACAGGCAGGTCGTACTTGCGATAATCGCAAGCCCACCCCGCTGAGGGGCGGGCTTCCGATGACCGCAATGCTGAACGGGCAGTATGCGCTTGCGCACACCGGCCCGTGCGGCATTTATCTTACGAACATGCCACACACCCGCCGACTATCGTACGATTCTCGGCAGGTTTTCGAACATGTTCCCAAGATAAAAGGTCGTGCGACCGTACAGTAGAAACGGCCGCACGCCTTCCACAAACCTTTCGATAATCGTACGATTGCGGGATTTCCCGCGATTATCGTACGATTATCGCAAGGTGTGTGGGCACCTTGAGAGTCTCTCCACTAATTTCACAGAAGAGCTCACCAGGACTGAGCTGTCACCTTTGAAAATTCGGTCCTGCACATTGCTTGAGACAGTCCAAGGTATTGGAGGCACAAAGGGGCTCCCACTTCAGCTGCGACCCCAATCAGAACAGCGCCTGAGGTGGATGCCCTGTTTTCACTATTATAGCATCAACAGTTTGTGCAGCGATTTACAATATATGGGGAGACAGTACAATTACAATATAATGCCATACAAATGGATTAGAGGATCTTAGGCTTAAGAGCTTACAATCTACAATTGGGAAGATGTATGAACAGGCCCTCCAATCCAAGGATGAATCCTGGCCCAGAGCTGCATGTAAATAAAGGGGTGGGATGCTGTAATGCCATTCACTGTTTATGGCCATATGACTATATTTGGTCATTGAGAATAACCTAATAAGACCATACATGGTCAATGATGTCAGCACAAGCACCCTACACCTTTGTCTATGTGCAGCTGCGGGGCAGAGAGCACCCTTTCTGGGTTCATAGGAGATCCGGTTTGTTGTAGAGCCTGAAAAGGGCAACAAAAGTGGAACATATTGCAGTGATGAATGCATTTGCTTTCTTCTTTCAGACAATTTTCACCTGGTCATACTGCCAGTAACACACTTCCTGTCCTAAGGTGACAACGCTCACTTACTGTACCTATGGAGGAGCAGTGTTATAGGACAGGAAGTGTGCAAGGACCACTGAACTCCTTCCCCTCTACTCATTGGCATAACAGAGGGGAGGTGTTCTGTAGGTCACAATTTTTCTAAATTGTGCTTCACAGTATGTGGTATATGTTCTCCGGCCCCTGTATTCTACAATATGTTGTCAGAACCATACAAAGATTTCACCAAAAAGCAAAATAAACACTGCTCAAATATTAGACTTATTTAAACATAATGTATTGGGTCACTTCCTCACACACTAATACAATTTACAACTTTCTAAAAGCTACAATCATAGAACAAATATCAGATCCAAACTTTTTAGTAGATTCAACCAGTTAAGCAAAACCAAATCCCTGCGGATTTATAGATGGAATACTTTGTCCCCAGAAGGTCTTTATGAGAATATTTAGAGTTTTTGATTAACACCCTCCCTTGTGTTTTTTCATTCTCTTGTATATACCGTATTTTACCCTCCATAAAAGGTGCACCGGACCATAGGACGCAGGGAGGGTAGGAGTCTGTAATAGCTGCATTTAGGGACAGCTGAGACAGGTGGCACTGTGATTACAGCGCCACGGTCTCAGTGATCACATAGAACAGACGAAGAACAGATGTTCTTCGTCTGCTCTACGAGCTCTATGGCAAGCTCCTATGCCGTGGTCACGGGTCCCCCAGAGGAGCGGGGGACCCCAAAAAACACGGGGGGGCGCACGCGATCGCCGCCGCTCGATCTGATACAAGTGATTAGGGCTGCAACAACTAATCGACATAAATCGATTATAATCGATTATTGAAAAAGTGGTCAACTTTTTCAATAATCGATTAATCGGCTTCCAATCAGTTGGCCCTGTTCACAGTATAGTACATTATAAAGTGTTACAATGCTAAATACCACCAGCTATACAGGACTACAAAACCTAGCAATAGTACATTATACAGCGCAATGCGGAATACCACCAGCTATAGAGGACTACAACAAATCCCAGCAATAGTACGTTATAAAGTGGTATAATGCTAAATACCACCAGCTACACAGGACAACAAAACCTAGCAATAGTACATTATGCAGAATACCGCCAGCTATATTGTACTATTGCTAGGATGTGTTGTATTCCTCTATAACTGGCGGTATTCTGCATTGCGCTGTAAAATGTGCTTTTGCAGTTCTCTACAGCCGGTGCCATTCTGCATGCATTGCTGTATAATTTTACACTTTCCATTTCACTATATTGCACACCACACTATCTTTTTTCTTTTTTACTTCCACCGCTCAAGCTTGCTCCTGTGATGGACTACAACCTCAATACAAACTAGTAGTCCCATCACTGGAGCCATTTTTTAAACTTTATTTTGTTTATCCGATTAACCGAACCTAATAATCGGCTAACTAATCGATTTTGAAAATAATCGTTAGCTGCAGCTCTACAAGTGATCTGATCACTTGTATTAAACGAGCAACGGCTCCCACTGTACATGTAGCTCCGCTTGTCAGGAGCAGGGCTGAATGTACAAAAAAAACTACTCACCCGGTGCCCGAAACTGCATGTCCCGGGCGTCGGGCGAGAGGATTTTGCTCCATTAAACAAAAAAAAAAAAAAAAAAAAAAAAAAAAAAAAGTGCAAAAAAAAAAAAAAAAAAAAAAAAAAAAAAAAAAAAGTGCATCTTATGGAGAGAAAAATATGGTAATACTTCTCACAGCCAAAGTACTTTTCTTCTCCCCAACAATTTAAGTTTAATATTGTGACTCGCAACTTATGAAATTGGAGTGACATATATACACACACTCTTTTTTTTTTATTCTCAGACTTTGCCAAATCAAACGACCATTCACAATGCCGACTTGTTTCACATCACTCTTCTTCATCCCTCACTAGTCCCACACTTGCTCATCATCTTGCCGTTTGCTTGCAACCCACCTAAACAGTTTTCTTATGCACATTCACACTCTGCCCCTCTCCCCAGTTCACCTATTATGCTGTTTAACTAACTTTTACATCCTCATCACATCACTAACCCTGTTCACACATCTCCACCCATTCACATCTAACAGGCCCCTGCCCCTTCTCAGTGTTGCTACCAGTCTTTGCCTGTCAAATCAAGCCCCTCCCCTTACATTCAAAACACACACACACACACACACACACACACGATAGATAATACATTTTATATAAAATGTATTATCTAACAGCTCTGAGCCCCTGAGGTCTTAGCCTCGTAATTGCCGACCTCTGCATGTGCCCTTTCTTTCTGAAAGTTTTCCCCACTTTGGTTGCCTTGCTTAACAAGGAGTCTCAATATATCCGGTCACTATTATCATTGTCCTTACTTTATAAAACTCATTGTTACTTTCCCCGAGTCCATTCCCCAAGGGATTCCCCTTTGGAACACTCCTTGCAATTGATAGCCAATGGCAAGAACGCTCCTTAGATTGGTGTCCAGTAGAAAGAATGCCTTTTATAGAGATGGTCAGCAGGAAGGATGCCTTTTACATCAGTTGTAACAATGCTCCCTACGTTGGCGGGCCGGTGGCAGGGGCGCCTTGTACGTTGGCGGGCCGGTGGCAGGGGCGATCCTTACACAAGTGGTCAGAATGCCATCCTGACATACAGCTGAAAAGATGAGCGGTGTCATGCCACTTGCTCTACTAAGTAGCATTGGACCCGGAACAATGCAGGCACCATTACATTGGAAGGTCAGTCAGCCACAGATCAAGGAACCCCCTAGCAACCTCTAGAAGATTCCACAGCACCCTGTTTGAGGAAGGCTGGTTTAAACTAAGAGGATGAAGCAGACGTGACACACCAAGCCATCATCTAGGAGGTATCCACCCAAAATTGGATTAGCAGACTATACATGTTACAGCTAGACTGTACACACATTACATTGTACTCAGGTTACATAAAACTGTCACATCTAAAAGGCATGGCAGTCAGAATGTCACATGTATGGCCAACTGCAGCATTAAAAGCACTGGATAGAGCTATTTGAATTGCAGGCTGCACACAAACAGCAGTGCAGCCCATGCTAGCGCAAAATGCATGCAAATAAACATTTTTCTTTCCGCGACCTTTAAAGCCCATCGATCGTGTGTGTGTCTCCCCTGCAGCCCCGCTGTCACCATCCTTCGCCTGTCACTGCCAGCCCCAACACACCAGCTCCAGGCCGCTCACCCCAGTCACCGGGCACACTCACCAAGGAACAACGCCATGGCCAGTACTGCCTCCCACAGCCTCCTCTGCCCGACCGTCTCCATCTTGTTCACCTTCCGGGTAACCGTTTTACTAGAAGAAGAGAGCAGAAGAGCCAGGAACCCTGTGCCAGGACAAACACCGTACAGACCACTGCGAGAACCTCACACACACAAGTCATATGAAGCCGTGACGTCACGGCATCACGCGCTCTCTCGGAACGTGTCCACAAGAGGTCTGCCCATTCTCTGCCTGTTTGTCACTTATCATGGCGGCCATTTTACCGAAGACTAAATTCTAGCGACTTACATGGCTTCACTATAGGTAAAACTGACCCGTTTTACCTAACGTTGTTAACGAAACGCCGTTCTTTTCATACAGCATCAATTTCTATTTATCGGAAATATAAATATAAAAAAACGATACTAAGGCGTTGAATGAGAACTTGGGGGCGTGGTTTATGGAGGAAGGGTGTTGTCACCTAGCAATGGGACTGTTGTTAGTGTTACATTGAGCAGGCCTGCTATGGAGCATTAGAAGTGCTGCTGATCTAACCATGAGCAATAAAAGTACCGAGTGATGGTCATAGTAATGGTACTGAAATATTTCTGTGACCAACACAGCAAGTTGTACTATAACTATGTGTTGTTATTATTATACAGGACTTATATAGCGCCAACAGTTTGCGAAGCACTTTACAATATAAGGAAGACATTACAATTCAGGACAAGAAGGTAAGGAGGGCCCTGGGCTTACAATCTAAAAGGGAGGGGCAAGTGATACATGAGGGGGTAGCTGTGGGGGGATGAATTGTTTGAGAAAGTGATATTTCAGTGGTTAGTTTGAGGTGGGATAGGCTTCCCTGAAGAGATGAATCTTAAGGGAACGCCAAAAGGCAGTCAGAGTAGAAGATAGTCGGACAGGTTGGGGTAAAGAGTTCCATAGAATGGAAGAGACTCTAGTGAAGTCCTGGAGGCGAGCACGGAAGGAGTTGATGAGGGAGCTGGAAAGCAGAAGGTCATTTGTAGAGCGTAGCGGATGGTTAGGGTGATACTTTGAGACAAGGTTTGCAATATAGCCAGGGGCAGAGTTGTGGATGGCTTTGTAAGTGGTTGTTAAGGTAAGGCTTGCTTTACTATAGTGTGAATGGGCCCATTGGGGCCCAGAATGGAACCACAGCACATAACAGGAGATGCAGGCATCAGACCCAGAGGTTTTTCAGATACAGAAGATTGTTTAGCAGGTAATCAAAGATCAGACACTCTGGATCAGAGGCACTGCTTCTGGAGAGGTAAGTATTTTTCATCTTTGTATTTATTCTCAGCTGGGAGCACTGGTAACAAATGTACTTGTCAATGGGTTCCTAAGGTAAGTGACCCACACCAGTGCAAAGATGGCCATTGCTGGTAACATTCGAACCACCTTCATCTGCAAAAAATGATTCAATGGTTAAACACAACTGGTCACAATCCATACTATATACAGTAAACTCCCCGTTATCCGGCATCCAGGGGGATTGGTAGATTCTGGATACATTTAGTTTCTGGTTGTTTGAGAGGTACTATTGAAAATAGGTCTAATGCCATACTTGTTAAAGTTGTTAATATTTATTTTTGTAACTTTATTTTGCATAAAACATCTAACAGTGTGATTTATAAGGTTATTTAAGAGGGTGTGTTTAGGGGCGGAGTTAAGGGCAGGGTAGGGGTTAGGTGGGTAACTGGTGGCGAGTAACTCTTAAAGCAGGGCTAGTAGCTCAGGACTTGAAATTTTTACCCCTGCCATACCCCATATTATACCATACCATAAACTCTTTATAGACTTCATATTAATATTGAAATACAGTAGTCAAAAGCAAATTAAGACAAATAGACAATCATTTCCAGGATAATACATGCTGCAGACCAGCAAAACAGTGAGTACACAGGGGATTTTTTTTTCTGGTTAGATGAGAGTTCTAGTTAGTTGAATACCAGATAACTGAGAGTTTACTGTACAGTAGCTATAGTTAATGTTGGTGGGCCTGATCCATCCATTTGTTTTTGCAAATGTAGACTGTGTGTGTGTGTGTGTGTGTCTACTATAGCAGTAGACATTTAAAGTGTAATTCTAGTTTGCAGTCACATCTGAGAAAACCCCCCTATATGTTTGTTTAGGTGTTCCTATTCACACAGCACACCTAAAACAAATGCTAAAAATATATATTTCTTACCTTTTAAATGTCTCTGTATAGCAGGCCTTTGGGCAGATTCTCTGTACAATTTCAAAGTGACAGGAAACTCTGGCTGTCCCCATGGAAAGACTATGGACACTCTGAGCTTCCTCTCAGTTGCCAATTACAGGCCTCTCTCATCTTTTTAAGTGGGAGAACTTGCACAATTGGTGGCTGATTAAATACTTTTTTGCCCCACTGTACGTCTAGATACTTGCAGGCTTTGTATTCTTTGCATTCCTTGTTTCTCTTTCACAGTCATCTGACAGTGACCATGTTTACTAAGGGTAGATTACTAGCTGTCCTATTACTTCCTGGATTTCTGGCACATGTGACTAGGACATGTGACCATGCACATCATCTCAGGGGAGGGAAATGCCTTTCCCTGAGATCTTGTGATTTGAAATACACTTTATTATATATGGACAAATCCACTGTATCAGTTTAAAGTGGAACTTAAAAGTGACACTACCTCAGGAGTTAAATCTTAAAAATGCATTCAAGTTCCTTAACTATTAACAACAATGTATCTTATTTGTGTATCACTCAGCTGTAGATCATCAAATCATCTCTGAATTGGTGCTGACACTGTCCTTCCTTCTGGAGGGCGGCTACGTTTGTTCCCCATGGTCCCTGTGTGTGTGTTGCAAAGTAGCCACCACTCCAAGCTCACTCCTGTGACAGACTACAATAAGGTGATAGTATAACTATAGTAATGAAAGCTAACTATAGTTGTATAAGATTTGAGCCATCTGCCCCTTTCACCCTCTTCATGTAAGGTGTAACTGATGTCCAACGTTGTGTGGCCCTCAGGCTCACTGTATGACTGGTTTCTCCGTTACATAAAATAAAGTGATAGTATAATTCTAGTAATAAAATCTATAGTTGAATAAGATTTGAGCCATCAGCCCCTTTCACCCTCTCCATGTAAAGTGTAACTTATGTCCAATGTTTTGCGGCCCTCAGGCTTACTGTAGGACTGAAGTGCTCCCCTGGACCAGTTGAACAAATTTGCCCTCTGATCTGAGGTTTGTAGTGGCAGGTATATATCACAAGGGAGGCAATTGGGCCTTCATCTAATGTAACTATAGTTCCACTGTAAGTACAGTAAATAAAGCTCCCCAAACCATCAGATACTTAAACTGTCCACCTTCTACCAAAAGATGAGATATCATGTTTGGTTGTGAAGGGAAAGGTTTGTTGCACTCCTTACCGGACAACCCCGAATATGGGGGGTTGTCCGGAATGACTGCGGATGGCGCCGCCAATTGCAGACAATATAGGGATGTCACCAGCACACCAGACTCCTTCAAGGATAGTCAATCGTGAATTTATTCAAAACACACGTGTGTTTGACATAAGTTTTGAATAAATTCACGATTGACTATCCTTGAAGGAGTCTGGTGTGCTGGTGACATCTCTATATTATCACGTTTGGTTGGGCTGATCCTTTAATTGTCACTTACTTAACCAAGAGGTTTGTTTTCAGAAAAGGATGTGCAAATTCATTAGCAAGCGGTTCATTCAAACAAATATTGTTTGTACATGTTACACCTTACAAATTCAATATGTTGGTGTTAAAGGAATCAGTGATACATTCCACTAAACTTGTATTTACTGTGTAGCATTAGCTATTACCATAGACTTGTAAAATGAAAGCTTTCTTAAAAGAGAATTCGCATGTAACTAGTGACTGTACCGATATTAAAAATCTGAGTGTATGACCCGGGTGATCTTCTGCGCCATTCGTATATGCGTTTGTCCCTGGGTAATTTAGAAGAGTTCATCCAAGGAAATTCAATTTACATAATTAAAACTGGTAACAAATACAAACTAATGAAAACATTCATCAATCTTGTGAGATTCAAAGCTATCATTAACAATCAACGGCTGCATCATAATCATCCCTCTTCTGCACAAAGGTGCAGAATGCTCCTAACCTCCCAATCCCGTTTACATTCATTGGTAGATCTGCTGCCAGATGCCAAAACTCCATACGTGATCAATATCCTCCATTCATAATGTCCAGAGTATATACAGCTATCCTTATGTAGCCAAACTTACCATATTCACCACTTAGGAACAAGATGGCATCAACCTGGTGTCACAAGGGCTCCTTCACAGAAGAAAACAGCAGTGCTGCAACAGTTTTGGTTGTGCGTCCTGGGGAGAAACGAAATCCCTTACACACCACACTTCTGTTGCTATAGTATGTGAAGATAGAATAAGCAAAGATTGGATCTCACTCACAGAGAGATATCCCTCGTATCTTCCATATATTTCATACGTTTATTATGGTCCATCCAAATTTGCTCATTACACCAAAGAAGTTTAATATGGCTACAGACTACAATATTTTGAAACATTGTTGCCAGTCAAAGTCCAACTTAAATTAAAACCATGTGCTTCAAGAAAGGTTTAGAACCTCTGCCAGGTTTTTATTGCTCCGTGACCCCAATAGGGACATTTCCCCTCACTATATGCACTATTTTTTGCAATCTCCCCCGGAAGGGCATTGCTGTACCATGCAGGTGACCGCACTGCGGGCAGGAGGCGTGTCTGCAGTGTCATTGACATGAATTGCACCACAATGCCCCCCTACCTCGCCAGAATGTAGGAGGCTTGGTTTATGCGATCCAGTGCGTTCCAGGCATGAACCGTGCTGGAATGCACTGGATATGGTGTGAACCGACCCTGTAATCCTATTTGTACACCACTCAGCTGTAGATCTTCAAATCATCTCTGAATTGGCGCCGACACTGTCCTTCCTTCTGGAGGGTGGCTACTTTTGTTCCCCATGCTCCCTGTGGGTGTTGTAAAGTAGTCAACACTCCTGTGATGGACTACAATCTCAATACAAATTATCTGACTAAACCTGAGACCATCATGAGAGTGAGCTTGGAGTGGTGACTCCAACACACACAGGGACCATGGGGAACAAAAATAGCCACCCTCCAGAAGTAAGGACAGTGTCAGCATCAATTCAGAGATGATT